GAGAGCGGGTCACGTGACCTCGCTGACGCAACAAAGGTATGAGAATGCACCAGAGAGCATCCAATTCAGTGCCCAATATTGAAATGAAAATATTTAACTTTTTTCCTTTGCCCATTATCATCCCTGACTGCTAAATCAATGTTAATTTTTTCTCAATCTTTAATATCAATAAAGTGATAAGTAGCACAAAGAAAACAATTCAGTGATTTGTTAGTGAATTTTTCTTTTACATGTCAGATAAAAAGATGATGTTAGGAAAGCACAAAGGTTCAAAAAATCAATTTAACACAAAAAGATGGATCTTCTTTCACCAGGGACAAAATGATTCCCAGTTTGCCTCTGATGAAAAAAAAGTCCAGCTTTTGAAAGAACTTGGATTATAGGGTTTTGTTCAGTAAGTAATAAAGTTAACAATCATACAAATAAGTTGGCATGACATTTTGATAAGTATAATCAATTTTTTAAGTTTCATTTAATGAAATTTAAATACTTGTAATATTATGTTGCTTTAATTCAGTATAACTCTATTTTATTTTTATTTTCTTGTCTTCTATAAAACACAAGACCTCTTGCATGCCAGGCAAATTCTCTGCCACTTGATCTAAAAGGTTAATCCATTAGTTACTGCTAGTAAGGCACTTTCTAACAATTAAAACTATCACATTCATATAAAAATGAAAAAATTAAAAATGTTTTTGAATTTAACTTGTGAATATGAATATTATATCCTCATTCTACAAGTTTTTTATATATATTCCTGTGCTATAAAATAGTTGTATGTTTTAAATTTTTTTGTTTAAAGAGCTTCACTTCATATCCAGTAATATTTCCCTGGCAAGGCAGAAATTATGAAAGAAGGCCTGTTCAAAAGTTACGATGTATATAGAAATAATAACCAGAGTTGTGCTTATGTCAGTCAAGAAACCACCTCATGCATGTTGAATTCATACATATATTTTAAAAAATGTTACATGATCCAAGTTATAACAACTGTAGACTTTTTTTTTCTGGATTCTGATTAGTACATCTAATTTTCAAAAATACAAGAAATGGAAGTATACTGTATTATTCTCTTTATTATGTACTTCTATGGCTTACTGCAAATTAGATTATTATCTTAATTTATTTCAAAGCTACAGAATTGTATAATTTATACATCAGCTGTTTTTTGTAATACATTTCTGGATATCTAAAAATACACAAACATTTAGTCACACATTTATTGTTATAATATGATTAATAGTAATTGGAAGTATAGTTACGTTAATAACAATCAGGGGGAAAAAATCTCTATTAATAAGAATTTCTGTCAACATCCACATGTGAATAAAATTATTTTTACTTCTGACATTACTTGGATCTCACTTCAGTTTCAATCTCAGTATCTGCCAAACAACTTTCTAATCTAACATGATTTGATTATTAAAAAATATTGTTGCGTCATCGAGGTCACGTGACTGGTGTGGCGCCATCTATTTTCTAGAACCATCCTGTACCTTGGCGAATGCTCTAGTATTTACTAGATTTTGGGTAGCTGGTATATAAAAGAGGGTGACAACGTGACGGAGAATAATGTGTGTGTGTAGATAGTGAGTAACTGAACTGCAGTCAGAAGTATTATTGACGTTCGTTGCAAGAAGAGAGATTACAGCAGTTGTTGGAGGAAAAAGAAAAGAAACAAGAAGAACGAGAAAAGAAACAAGAAGAAAGTCAGCAGCAACTACAGGAAAATCAACAACAATGGCGAGAGGTACAAATGGAAAACATTAGTAAATTTAAAAGCGAATTAGATACGTTAAAAGACGATCTATTGTCTTTTACACAAGGAGGATACATTGACCATCGACTTAACCAGCCTCAGACAATGACAAGCCCTATCCAGACCGTGTAGCTAAACCCTAATGCAGACATATTCAGTCCCATTAGAAGTCACATCCCAGATATGAATGTCAGTACTAGGAGTGATCCAGTACGAAGGAAGCCACAGGAATATGATGGGAAAGCACCGTGGGATGCATACAGAGCACTGTTTGAGTTACTGGCAGAGATGAACGGATGGACAGAGGAGCAGAAAGCAGTATATCTGGCAACAAGCTTGAAGGAACAACCACTGGAAATACTTGGACAGTTGTCAGCAGCCGACAGGCACAATTATAGAGCACTGGTAGCGGCTCTAGAACTCAGGTACGGAACCCAAAATCAGTCAGAAGTCTACAGGGCTAGGTTTAGGACGAGAATCCGTGCTAAAGGGGAGAGCCTGCAATAGTTGGCACAGGACACGATGCTTACCCAACTGCAACACCCGATGTCCTCAAGCTATTGCTGAGGGATCAGTTTGTAGACGCCTTGGACAGTCTACAACTGAAAATACA